GGATCCCATCACCCCATCCCTCCCATCCCTCAGCGGGAGGGAGGGATGTTCAGCGGGGACCAGTCCCAGGCCACTGAAGACGACTGACAGCCTATTCTCAGCGCCGAATCTCAGAAGAGTCAGCTGCTGCGCAGTTCTGCCAGGACACGTGGGGTTATGTCATCCTAATGAAAACGTAAACAAAGCAAACCCTCCAACAACAAAAAAAGGAAAAGCCAAAATAAATAAATAAGGAAACCCTTGCAGAAGCTGTCACGTGTAAACTCTGCCAAGACTCATTTCTGCAGCGCCTTTTGAGGCGGCGTCAATTTGTTTTGCCAAGACAGAAGCCTCAGCCTTTCGTATCAGTAACTATGAAAATACATTTCCAGGCCACCTTGCGTAGTGTCCCCCACTGCTGTTAGATAACCATCTGCCTCAAAAGTGGCTATTGTTACTGGGAACTGTCTCTTTCATACCATTATCTTGCTGAAAAGCCTTTTCTGAAAGTAGTCCATTAGAGCAGGGAGAAAAAAAAAACCTCTGAGCAGGGCCATGTAGCAGAATCAATGGCTCCCTTTGATCCGCAAGCTCGGTCAGTACTACAAATTTAAGAAACAACTAGGTTTTGCTTTGCTAAGCAAAGCCTGTTAATTTGGCTCATCTGCACTTACAGCATCTTACTGAAAACGCCATCTGTATCAGACGTTTTGAAGACTTTGGTGCAATATTCACTTAGCTTAGATAAATAATTTAGTAAGATTCATTAAAAAATAATCAGTGAATTAATTTTCATAATGTACGTCCATGCATGGATTTTTTAAAATTCAGTCCTCCACTACCCTGAATGGCGGTGAGGATATTCACAGTGGGTGAAGAAAATGCTGGTGACTGATGGACTAAGACTGAACATAGATTTTTCTTATTCTAGTCATGGAATTTCTTCTGAAATCTATTACGTGTGTTTGAGTCCTATTACTGGCAAGAGCAAAATGTATATGCACTACAGGGAAAATTAAGACCCTTTATGTCTGTTGCAGGCCACGCATATAGTACAGGAAACTTAGCTCCTATCATGACAAAAGAAGCCCACAAAAACATCATTTCATGCTACCAAAAGGAAATCTTTTGTGTTGATATATAGGACAGGAATGTATACCACTGAAACCACTGCAGATAGCTATAAAACACTACGCAATATATAGAAATAGCCTAAGAACATACAAAATTTACCAGTAGTGACCTGAAAGTGCAAAGAGTACATATAACTAAATGCCGAGTCCTGATCTATAAAATCCTTTATGAATGACATACAAGCTGATAATTACAAAGTATCATTCAGACCACAAAATAACAAATAAAACAAATGAAGAAAAGCATTCTTTAAGAAAATCAAAACGACGAAAGCATTGGGGATATTATCTTTGGGACTCAGAACACCATTTCTACCTTGATACCTACCAAAGCCGAGGAAAACATATGCTCCAACAGGGTAGCATAAATAAGAATGCAAACCACCACAGAATGCCTCAGGACTATTACCTCTGTATGTCTCAGCCTTTAAATCCAGCAAGCCATCAACTGTTTGTTCTTAGGCATCTCACGGTATTTTACAGGGATCTTTCGGGAATTACAGACAGGTCTGAAGAAAGCCTTTGAACCTCCTCCCAGTGATTGTTTCAGGCATTGTGTGGAGTTATACAAATATATTTCTATGAAAATTGAAAGCCCTCGTAAATATTAAATTTTCCATTACCTTTCGAAATAAAAAACATAGATGGCTTAAGGACAAAAACGAGCTTTATAAATACAAAGTTAATTTGAGCATTAAATTCTATTTTTACTCTCACACAACCATTACCCTGAATCAACGTCAGTATGTCGCAATGATTCAAAATACTGACACCCTACAACAAGCTACTTTCCCATTTTTCCTTTTAAGGATATGATTGTCCTTAAAATATGTACATAGCAAGCAGCCAAACGAACCGCCGAGAGATTTGCAAAATGTACTTACATGGGGTATGGGACAGAAAGCTTGGGAGGGCGATGGGGGAGCACCTGGCCGCAGCAGGCAGCGGGGCCGCCCTGCCAGCCCCGGGGCTCCCCGCTCCGCGCCCCGGTTAGCACCGAGGAGGAAGCTGCCCGCCAGCATGCAGAGGATGGAGGAAAAACGGGGGCAGAAAACAAAGGAGCGAGAGAAAAATGAAGGGAAGCCAAAGCATTTTAATGATGATTCGTGTTAGTCATTACGTGAGAGGGAGCTAGTCTAGTGTCATTCTATTGGTTTCTCGATACAGACATGCCACGATGCAAACAAAATGCGTATGGGGAATAATTTGCCACACATGAGTCCTGTAGAGATGGTAGCTGCTATCTTCTAGTGCTTTGAAAGATGCACCACTCCTACGAGCTGTCCTCGGTGGTGCTTCCAGTTTTTACGGTACTGCCCCAAGCTCACCACATCCTCCCTCCCTCTCAACTTCCAGTACCCTATAGAATCTCTCTGCGCAATTTGTCTTGAAGACAAAACGCGGAATTACGATTTTTCTGCAGAGTTGTCATGCAAGGAAAGATGCGTCCCTTACAGTCAGACAAAAACAAAAGAACAGAAAATGGAATGTTAGGTTTAGGGACTGAGGACCAGGATACTATTCCATGTTCTGTACATTCATCCTTTTGAGGGTATTTCAGCTTGAACGTTCTAAAATGCACAAGCAGAGTCAGGCCAAATGCAAATCCCTTTCTCAGGCAAAGGAAATCACCGCCAGCGTGTTTGGAGGCAGATTTACAGCACGTCCCCTCAGTCTGTGCGTGGGAGCGTGCACGCGTGGCCGTGTTCGCGTGGGTGTGAGTGTGCACGGGTGTGCACGTCCACCTGTGTGCACGTACCCGAGGAGGAGGCGCGCTCTGACTACACATGCATATGTACAACACATCTGTGTGAGTAGGCATGTAGAAAACCACACACATATACATTAGAAAGAAAACATATAAAATAATCTTCTTTGAAGTGTATTAAGGTTCTTACTCAAAACCATGAAAACAGGGACTGATGAGGAAAACTAACGCTTTCTCCCTGTTCACTGGGGCGTTCAGTTCGGTATGAGATCCTGCAGTAATTTCAGAACTAAATGCCAGTTTTACCCTTGTGACCATAAGGTCATTTCCCCAGTGAACCACACATATACATATATACAATTCTTATCATTGTATCTCCTGACTTTTTACGGTTTCTCTGTAACCTTAATATCCTTCAAATGTATATTCTGTATATTTATTTTCCTTTTTTTCTTTCAATTCAAGAGACAATAAAACCAACTGCTATGTAAGATCAGACCCATTAGCTTCAGTGATGTGAATTTAGGATTCTCTGCATAATATAGACATGTATATTTTTTAAATGTATATTATTATTCAGATACACTGGAGCATATATTTTATATTAACTGTGGTCTGATGATTAACTACTTATACCAAAATATTTTGTAAATACATAACATCTACCTTTAGACTTCAGTGATTTTTGGAGCTTTTTCAGTGTATCATAAAAATATGTCCTCAGGCACATTAAAACCCTATTAAATTTCTTTGAAATGTTGTCAATGCCCATGTACAGTAGCCACTGTTCAAAAATGTCCTGGCCATTAATACATTTCTCATAAGATCCAAGCTCATCAGACCATTTCATGTACCACTAGCTTACCATATTTCTTTTTCTCTCTTAAAGTAAAATTATTCTGACGTTATTAAGAATGAAAATAAAAAGCAACAAGAACCCAAACTTTCTTTAAATATTCAAAAACTAATTTTATATATCTTAAAAAATAATAATTAAAAAACATGTTTCTTTCCTGGGTTCCTTCTCTGTAAGGTTTAAGCCCAGAGCAACTTTGTCTAAACCCCTGAAAATAGAGGTTTGCAGTGACAATGCTGTCAGCACCTCAGCTCTGACACACGGAATGTGCCACTGGAATAAAATCAGCACTTCAGACTTACTTATCTGGGGATGCATGAGCCCATACAAAACAGAGTTTTGCTCTAATTTAAGGTACTTACACAAAGTTCTAGCTTTTTAGAACTCTAAAATTATCTACCTATAAAAACTAACTCTTGCTTAAACTCTAGATAATACAGACGGGTGATTTCTTTTTATAAAAAATCTGTAGCATTGAGTAAATCTGCTAAAATATGTATATATTTACACATGGCGAGCAAGTTATTGTATAAATGTGAAGAGTGTGTCTATATTGGCATTTAGTAAAATGTTTCCCTGAACCTGATTGTATGCATTATCGGACAAGTACTGATGTAAACAACTGAACCTATGTCAGGTGTCTCTGTTACCCATTTACGTTAGACCAGATCAAAACCAACCAGACAGACAAACAAAAATACGTTTTCCTGTTAGACAAGTCCTCAGTTAGCTACCTCAGTTAGCTACCGCACACAAGTCAATCAAGTCTGCTGCTGCTGAGCAGTGCTCTCGTTCCTACAGCAGGTAAAATACCTGTTAGGTTGGATGTTTTTTGCTTGGCATTTTTTCCAACATCTTGTAGAGCAAACACCATTTTCGGGGGCAGGCACCCACCCTCCACTCCTCCCCCAGAAATGATTAAAAGATAAAGAGTATTGGAGAACCTCTCGTGTTGCTCCTTTTGTAACTCTGTTCCCTTGAAGAACTCATGGCACTGCTTTGCATGAGGAAGGATGCTCATGTAGGTTCATAATCCAAGTCCTGCTTCCAAAAAGGCATGTAAAAATGAACCTCCCCAGTGTTTAGTGCTGCAGAAAAGAGATACAAATGTAAAAAAAGTGCTCGAAAAGAAGTCGACTTTTTATATTCAGCCATCCAGTCTAGTAAGAAGGGATTCAGAAGTGCAGGCCCATGGAGTACAGTGAAGTAAGCCTTTAGGTGCCTCTCTTCAGGTGATGCAAAACTAATTCATTATCTGTGGTCTCCTACGCAGACTTCAACACACCGACCTTTCCGTCCATCTTTGTCTCCACCTCTTACTCATCTACTTTTTGGCACTGTCCTGGTACATGGTAGCTTTCACCGTTGTCCCTGCTAAGCCCCTGTTACTGATCCGGCGTACCAGCACTTTAGAGACGGGGATTTTTGTTCTGTGCATCTCGCTTTTGGCCAGGTGATGGTGTGCGACGTGATGGCTGTTACTGGTGTCTGCTCCGTGGCTGGCAGGATGCGACGAAAGGTGTTTAATGCTGATGGGTATCTTGGAGTCCTTCACTGTGCTTGAGGGTGTTTTCAGTGAGCACGTGGTCGTTATTGGCGACACGGGCTTGGAACGTGGCATGCAGGTGACCTCTTCCTCCGTAGGCCCGGCTGGTGGGGGCTCATCTGGCTCGGCATAGAGGTCATAGAGGGCATCCCCGCTGTAGCTGTCCCTGGGAATGGTCTCCTTCTGGATGCTCGCGGAACCCTCTTCCTCAGGACCGGGGGTGGTGGAATCCCAGTAGCCCTCGTCGCTGTTTGGGACCCCTTCGTGCTGCTCCTTCTCCCTGCCCTTCTGCTCCTCTTTGTGGTTGAGGTGAATGGGGATCTGGTGGAGGCCACCACGTTTCACCGCCACCTTGTTCTGGGCCCCCTCGGTACCTCGGTTCTCCTTCAGCCCCTCGAGCTTCTTTGTCCCTCCTCCACCTCCCCCTCCTTCTGTCTGGGCCTCCTCTGTCTGCGACAGCATATCCCAGAACTCCTGCAGGTAGGTGTCGTCCACCTGGTCCGGGCTGGCCATCTCCTCCCCTCCTCCCTGGTAGGCCAGCATGGTGGGGTGCTTCTTGGAGGCACCCAGCTTGCCGGCCCCGGGGGTGCTCTTCTCGCAGCCGCCACTCCCGCCGCCCCCATCCTCCTCATGGTCCGCAATAATATCTCCGCAGCCTGTAAGAGAGTCAAAGCTTTTCAGTGAAGTCACGTCAGCAAACATCAAACAAATACGATCAATCGATTGCTCTGAGGGTGGATCAACAGAGGAAGGGTCAGGGGCGGCTGCCGTCTCTTGACCGCTATCACAGTGAGGTTCAACAGGGGGGATAGTCGTTATTGGAATGTCACCTGTTATGGCCGCATCCTTCGCAGTCCCAACCTCTCCGCCGGTCGGAGTTTCAGACAAAGGTTTTGGCGTCTCCTCTTTGATGCACTCCAGGCTGGCAGTCAAAGACCCCGGCATAATAAGACCGGGCTGGATCTCCGAGGTTTCCCCCCGCTCCTCCTTGCCATTTTTGTCCTTTTTATGCCACCGCATGCTGCTGAAGATGCCTTTCAGCCCCTTCTTTTGTCTGCCGCCAGCCCGCTGCTCCGCGCCCTCCGCCTTGCCGCTCTCCGGCCTG